GCCGAATGATCGGTGATATGCCGAGCTGCATTACCCAATAGAAATCAAGAATTGATATGATTGGATAAAATGTAAGCCTGCAACAACTAACACCTTCAAAAATTTATGGTGGGAAATAGTACTAACTTAAAGAGGAGCTCGCCTGTTTTCAAATCAAAATGCCGCCAAGAACGCCGTACTCGCCTGACGATGTGGCTAAAGCGATAGCAGACGTAGTCTCCAAGAAGTGCAACATCCCTTCTGCTGCGTATGCCATTCCTCAGCGAACCCTTCGCTTTCATGTGGCAAAGGCCAAAAGACCCAACGTCGCCTTCAAGTCCATGGGACCACAGCCGATGTTGCCCCTCCAATATGAAAACGACCTGGCGACCTGGATCTTGGCGATGGAGCGTGATGGTCATCCGGTTAACCGCACTCAAATCCTAGACAAGGCGGCCGCAATCCATGACACCGTACACGGCTTTACAGCACCGACCAAGCCGACGTCAGGTTGGTACCAGAAGTTCCTTGCACGACACGACCAACTCAAGACAAAGAAGTCAACCGTCCTCAGCAAATCACGACACGTAGTCAACGAGAACGCTGTCGTCGCCTTTTACGAGGAGTTTCTTCATGCCTTGACCCACGTCAACATGGACCCAAAGCGCGTATTCAACATGGACGAGACGAGTTTCTCTCCATTAAAGGCAGCGACGAAGGTGGTCGTTCATTGGTCAACGCAGCATGTCTACGTCGAATAGTCAACTGTGTATGCTCACGTCACAATTGTGGCTTGCGTTGGTGCGGTCGGATCAAAGATCCCGCCTCTGTTTATCCTCCCTGCCGATTGTGTTACGACTGACGTATGTGACAGTCTTGTGATACCGGGTGCAACGGTGACGACATCTGAGAAGGGTTGGACGAACTCATCCATCTGTCGAAAGTGGCTTACCATGCTGGACTCTGCGATACCTGCGTCAACACCGCGACCAATCCTGCTGATTTTAGATGGATGTTCCTCACATTACTCCACCTACATCTACGATGAAGCGGCGCGCCTGAGCATTTTGCTGTTATTCTTGCCAGCGAATTCGACTCATATGTTCCAGCCGTTGGACGTGACGATGTTTCGACCGTTCAGCAAGCCATCCGTCGGGAGATTGCCAACGACATGTGGAACGACGTCGCGACGAGCATCAACAAGCAACACGCGATTTCGATCGCGTGTCGTGTGTAGTCATCGTCAACAAAGGATGTTATATTATTACTGCATACATGTAATATTTCTCTGTAATCAATAATTTTGTTTCATCGAAGCCTTAAAATTCCTATACTGAATACAAGGTTAAATTTCGGCAAATCACCGATCACCTGTTTGAGCGCCTAACTTTATCATTTTATTTGCCCTGATCCAAACTCTTACACTTGATTTGTGTTCGAACGATGAGAAAAAGCTCAAAAAGGCGAGTTCGGCACTGCAACTTTCAGCTCGAGATAATTTGAACTTCGCCAGATATGGTCGATTGAATGGAGCTCAAAATCGGCAAATCATAAATCCGTCACGTTAGTACCGAAATTGTACAACGACAGTACGACGTATGGTGCAAGTCATCTTAAAGACTACAGATCGGCCATCCTCAGGAGGAGACGTTTTACTATTAAACGCCTCGGTTCTTTCAGTTAAACGAAATGTTGACGTTAAATCATTATTAGTTACGTTTTTTACCTGGTAATTAGGTTAAACATTGTGAATATTCCGGATACAATGAAAACGTTCGTACGGATAAGTGCTGTATACAAAGACCAAGATATACTTGATACCCCTTTTCGGCCAAAATGTACCTGGCTCCATATATCTCCGTACAAAAAGGCCGTTTGGTTTAAATTCTATTACTCGATCAATTTTTCACCAATCGAAAATATGAACCGTAACTTCTGTTGGGCTTGTCCGTTCTATCGTTATTACGGCTTATTTTCCTAAATAATATCAATACAAAGTTGGAATAGCTGTCGAAATCAAGGCATTTATTTGTAGTCTTTAGGTGACTTGCACCATACTTTTAATAGTAGTACTAAGCTTAGAAGTAATGGCAACGTTACCGTATTTGTCGTTGATCTGCACCATGAAACATAAAACGTGATTGAAAATTTGTACTATTAGTACGTAGTACGTAGTAGTCAGTATCAATTGACATCAACATGTGGAATATTTAAATAAATTGTTTAAACTTTTTGTTAATTACATGATGACAAATACTGTAGTAATATTAGGGAGATTTCGGAGATAACTTCTCTTTTTCTTTTTCCGTAAGGGCCTGTTCAATGACAGCAAATATGTGTACATTTCGGCCATATGCGGATATTTTAGTTGATATATCCGGATATTTCGAAGTTCCACTGAACACACCATATTTCAATATCCCAGATATTCCCAAGCCAAATATCCGCCAAAAATATCCATGTCTGGAGCTGGATATTTTTGGCCGATATTTCATGTGGAGGAAAATCCATCGTCGTAGGAAGAACCTATTTATACAGTGCATAGTGTCACAAAATGAATGGACGACGAAGTCGGAATCATGTTACAAGCTACCAGCTATCATGGAAGGACGATACGGAGTTGTCCAACAGTCGCAACAAAAGTTCATTCGGCCAGTACACGGGTACATGGATATCCCGACGTTCAAGAAGAGCTCCCGCACGGGGGCGACGGGCTGTACCTCGAGCAGTTCCGGGTGTCAAAAGATGACGTCGCATTGATTGTTCAGCTTTCGAAGCCCCACATGCGGCGACTTTGGATGTACGGCTTGTCATGCTGGTTACACTACAATGGCTCGCAAGCGGCGTGTCGGTGCGGAGTCAAGAGCAGTTGTTCCAATACCACAACCATGTTACGTTGGCCTACTATCGACAGCTTGATGTGCGCGCAATCATCAAAGGCTTGGTTGACAGCGGATTCTATGGTTCGGATCGGCATGAACCTGACCGCGTGCGCTCCAGCTGTGAAGCATTTCGTCAAGAGCATCAAACCTTCAACAAGTGTCTTGGTGCTTTGGATGGTACCCACATCTCCATTGTGGTGTCTGCGGAGATGCAAGATCGATTCCAAAATCGCAAGGACCAGACATCGACGCACGTATTGGGTGTCGTCGACGAGTTGGGAAGATTAATGGCTGTCTTTGCGGGTGGTGAAGGCTGCTCATCCAACAGCTTTATATACAGCCAGACGGAGTTTGAAGGAAGTGTCCCTAGCGGTTACTTTTACCTTGGTGATCCTGGCTACCGTTTGTCCAAGGTGCTGCTGACGCCATACAGAAGCCAACGTTATCATCTCCGCGAGTGGGCAGCGAATACGGACGGCAGACCCAAGACTACCAAGTAATGTTTCGACTACAAGCACTCCAAGGCCCGCATTGTCGTGGAACGTGCGTTTGGCATGCTGAAGATCAAGTGGAAAGTACTCTCAAGCAACTTGCGGTTGCAGCTTGAATACTCGATTGATGTGATTCATGCTTGCGCTGCATTACACAATTTGTGTATTGCCTGCAATCCATCGCACATGGATGACATTTCGGACCTTGTGGTGCGGTCGAACCAAGATGACGACTTTGATTTGCATCAAGACGCACTCCAAGCAATGAACCACCCAAAAGAAAGGTGGAGGGAGGCAATTGCGAACACAATGTGGGAAGCTTACGTAGAGTACCGAGATGAGCTAGAATTCTAATAACAATTTGTACATGATTTCTTCGATGAATATTTTATACTACACATCTTGAATATATGTAATAAAATGAATTAAAGAAACAAATCATTGTCAATGTTCTAAAAAAGCGCACTGTCCTTTCGGGCCCCATGCTAATCCTTCACCCCTCACACTGAAAGTGCTACTTGCAACAGTCATCCAGCATTTCACCAGCTTATCCATTGCTCCACGATTAAATCGCGGAGGTATCCTCAGACTGAAAGTGTATGCAAAACAAGGGTATCAGTCATTGCAATTGTCGACGAGTTCGATCCCAGCTACCGGATATTAGTTTATTAACACCAACTAATGAGTTGCCCCCAAACCAATTAGATTTCTAATATTCTGGAAATTTGGATGTGTCACGAAATTTGACATGGTATTTATCCGTCCACTGCCATTTTCGAAGGTGATGTATTTTTTCCAAGATTAATTGTGATATTCAATGCTGCTTCCCCACACATCCCTACTCGTACCCACACGACCACACTAGGAAATATTTGGATCCCAATACAAACAATTCGAAGAATATAATCTCGTTATCAAGTAAGTGCTGGAGGTTGTTTTTAGCAGCCAAGATCTTTGTGATCATCTGCATCGTGGCGCACATCGATGCCAGCGTGTCACTATTCTTTTGCTTGATCGCCAATGACGCAGCCGACTCTTCATCTCTTTCTATGCGCTTTTGCTTCATGCTGTCATTGATTAGCTTCCTACGCTTCTGGGCAGCGGAGAACGATAACACATCCGGTTCCGACATGTCGAAGACCCCCGAAGCTGCCATCTCAGCTCCAGCCGTGGGTATTCCACGAATGTACTCCCCAATTGCCATCGCGTCACCTACTATCTCTGCGATAGCATCATAGTGGAGAAATGGCCGTTCCCGGAAGCGCGACAACGGCATGCTTCTTGGGTGCTTGTCCAGCTCACCCCACGTATCTTCAGACACGCCAACCAAGCCGTCCCCGAAAACTTCAGCATGAGCCATTTGTAATCAACGTAATCTTCCTTCAGCCTCTTCCATCTTGACCGCAGTTGGCTCGCGTTTGTGATGTTGCCACGGCCACCAAGGCGCACGATGAGATCGGACAATCCCTTGGATTTGAGCTGCTTTCCACCACTTGCAACGTATACGCTCTTTGCTGCTGCTTCGGCATATAAGACCACAAACTCGGCGTCGAGTTCGTCCGTCCACTTGGCGGACTTGCCTGCCTTCGATGGTCTTGCCATGAAGTGGTATCGACGCGTGGTTTCCAAGGTCAGTCATGCACTTTCCTTTCACAATGAATATTACAAAAGTCCTTCGTTACATTACTACTTCTTGCGGTATATTCATACTGAAGGTGTTAACTTTTCTTTTGTTGAATTGTGTTCACTGTCAATGCCAACAATTTCAAATATCCTCTTTTTTCAAATCAAGATATGCACGAGTTCCAAATATGCGTAAATCTCGCGAAATCCACTGATCATACCCTAAAAATTGAAAGCAAAGTAAAAGCAAAGGATTTTATATCGACGATTTCGGTGATAACAATTTTTCCATATCCGTAGACTAGATGGAGCCAAATTCGTGGATGATCGGAGAGGTCATTGTGAAGTCGTCCCATGGGTCATTCGCCCTTGGAAAGGCGTAGCTACGAAGGCAAGGAGTCATTCGCTTTTGGAAAGGCGTAGCTACGAAGGCAAGGAGTGGCTTGCATCGAAAGTAGCACGCCTCGGCAACTGGCACCAAAGCGCCAGCTGCAGAGTAGTGCTTCTATACAAAATAGTACTTATCTGGTGCTTTTAAGATATCGTTGATAGCCACTGGTACAACTCCGGCAGGCGCCGCCTAATTTGCTTTTTGTAGTTCCTACAAGTGAATACTTGTGATGGTGCACGGGATTCTACGTCACTATGCATAAAGATGGAGGTTATCATTAAGTCTTTAAACCAACAACCTTGTCATATACTATATACCAGTGATATTTCGAATTAATTTGAGTCCCTTCCACAGTATCACTTGAATTTAGAATTTGCTGTAACCTTGTGAAGATGTTTACTTATTTGCAAAATGCACAATTGCTACCAACAAGAGTAAAGTATTCGGAAATGATCATAGTACTAATCAATTAGTCGATCTTTACGAGGATACATGAACACTGAAAATACTTTAGCCACGGTATGGCGAGAAACGAGCGCGATTTGTGTCATGGCAATACGACCTTCGCGGCTCAATCGATAACGGCGCTGAGTCTCAGCACGCTTTCGCTTCTTCTCGCTCGCCATGCGCTGGTAGCGGGCCATAACCATGGCATAGTAGTTTTCGTCCTCTGCGCACAAGGGCAGCAATGACAGATGGAAGTTGGTCAATGCAAACGTAGTCTTCTGAAGCGAAAGGTAGATCTTCTCGCCTCAGGTGAACATCGTGCATGAAATTCTCCATAGGGAGCAAACATGCCCGAAGAAGTTTTCCACGACAACGCGATCGGACGAAACGCGTCAATTGCGCTCAAGGCCTTTTGGCATCGAGATCACCCTTTGCTGGACGACGCTTCGAATGAATCTCACGCACTTCATGGGCAATTCCGATGTAGCCCATGTCCACAAGGCATATCCAATATGTCGGGAAATCGGTCGACCACTCCCCGTGGTCTGGCAAAGCAGCTTTACGGGGTGTATTCGTCAAGTTGGCCTTGTGCATCACGTCGAGTATGCATCATGGTCAGATCGTGAACCAAAGCAGGATGCGCGTCGGACATGGCCACACAGCGGCCATCGGGAGAGACGGCGGTTTCAATCTTTTAACCGTACAGGTGATGCTTGCCACTGAAGTAGTGTTTCTGCTCAGAAAAACGGACGAAGCGATAGACGGCATACAGGACTTTCGGATAGTTAGTGAAACAACAGCCGGCCTCGGTCATGGATGGCCACACGATTAACTTCTTAAACAGAACAGGCTCAACCACCAAGCACATGCACATCCGTTCGAGAATGCCCAGGCCAACATACCGACACAGTACTCATGATCATCTTCTCAAAGGTTGGTGCCTTGAAACCAAAGCCAGCGGCATGCTTGTCCCATGAATAAAAGTGCTTCATGACGGTGAGAGCAATGAACAGACGGTCCCTAGGGCTGACTTCTAGACACGTCCTTCCAGCCAAGCAGCGTTCAATGTATAATCCACGATGGACCAGAGGGACTCGATCTCCGACACAGTGAAGTTCGTCAGAGAACAGATTTCCTCCGGTCCAATAACGTTGACGAACTTGTCCATGATCGGGTTTACTGGGGCTTTATCTCAATGCCTTGACGGGCAGCCCCTCCGAAGTCTTCGAGACTCGTCTCGAGGAACGTGAAATCGGGGGCGTCCTGGTCGCGAAGACGGGAGAGAACATGAGTAGCGTTGATGGCAGGGGTGGCAAATGGCATTGAAATTGGAAAGTGAATGGCTGGCAGTGCTCTAGCCGCAGTGCTCACGCTTTTCGACGCCAATACGTTTTTTTGTTGGATTTGTTGTGGTGGCGCGCCCATTGTCGCAGCTCGTAAATGGGAAGTTAGTGGCCTGAAGATGAAGCAAACATGCTGCAACCATGGGTATGCTTCATGGAATGCTTGTACTTACATTGAGCCCATTTTCTAGCGTATTCTTTCTCGAGAAAAGCACACGAGATCCGCTGAGACAGTTGTGGATGCAGTAAATCGGCAAGCCTTTATACGAAGGAACAGCAATTGTAACGTTGCGTAATTCACTCGGTCACGGAAATTGTTATAACACCTTACTGTTAAATCAGTCACCGTATCATTGATCAGTACTAGTATTGTGCTTTGCACCTTTTTTGGCAATTCCAGGGTTAAATTCATTGTTTAAAAATTTCTCAGACTTAAATAATGTCTAAAGTAACTTGAATAACGGTTGGGTGCGTTGTTTAAAGTTACTTCATCTAATGCGATGATTGGTTGGTTGAAGGTGGTTTTACTGGCACTTTCGTAAAACAAGTTGTTTGCCGTTTTCATTCTGGCAAACAACTTGCTTTACGTCAACATGTTAAGGTGCTTGACGCAATGAAACTGAAGGAGCTATGGCCACACACATGACCCCCCATCCGTGATCACTACAGTACTAACATTATCTACTCCGAGTAATGTGTATAACGTTAGGGATATAGTTAGGCTACAGTACATGTAGTCGTCGCTCTGTCCAATGATTCAAAGCTATGCCATACCTACAATTCTTGATCTGCTCTAACCTTAGCACTGTACGTGGAAGGCAAGGGCGCACTACTGTACGACTACACGATGTATAGTACTCCCATTTAACAGCCTAATACGGTATGCATCGTGATGAACTGGTAGTTGTACGGCGTTAGTTGGCCTGGTGCTGCAACTCGATTAGTTAGCAGCTGAAATAAAGTAAGGGTTGTTTTATTCTGCTGAAATGCAGAACTTGTGTTTAGCGTTGTTTTATCTTCAATTGGGCTTATATTATTTTAAACGTCTGGTTGTTTAACGCATTTAAACAACGGGCAAACTACATGAAAAGCACAATACATACTGCAAGTCTATCACCAGTTACTGAGTTATATTGTAAATTAGTATGTTACTTGCCATATAGGCTTAACTCCAATCAAGATCGCCGCTACTGATCCTAAGTTCTATTAACTTGTTCGCTCCCACCGCGCCTCTGATCGACCTCCACTTCATGTGGGTCATCCTCCACGCTTCCACCTTCCACGCTCCATTCGAAGTGCCAACAACAAAAAAGCGTTGCACCAAGTCAACTGATCTGGCCAATCTCAAGTCAACAGATCTGGCCAATCATGGTGGAGGATTCGAATCCCCAAAATGGACCCATTTCATGGATTCTGGTAAAACGCTGGAACTTGTAAGTTCCGGCGTTTTCCTTAAACCTATAAAGTTTCAGAGGTTATTTTAAGGATAAAGATAAATACTCGTCTGCGAAATCTCCCTATTATGTACTACAGTACGTAGTACACATTCCGAGTCAAGGCACACATCCGAAATTCATCGATCTACACTGACACGAGACTTAACAATTCGATCGAGTGGTTGTAGGGACCGCAGTCGCATTGGTAGGAGGTGGAGCAGGGGTAGTGACGGGGGTGAGTAAGTTCAACGCTCGGATTTGCTTGGCGATTTGGGTCAGAATCACGCTCAACCGTTTGCCTTGGACGGTGATGGACGCCTCGGCGCTAGCAATGAGGGCGTTGACGTAATCACTGGACGGGCACGGGTTGATGCACTTTTGTTTGTCGTCCAGCGTGCAGTTCAAGTCGATGTTCTTGTACGCGACTTGGCGGGCCACGTCATACGACTCGAGAAAGGTCCTTTGTATCTTAACCAACGGCTCCGAGTTCATAGCAGTGACAAACTTGGGGTAGTCGACGTCTTTGACCGAGCCAAAGTCGAGTTTGTCCGGGACGGTGCCGTACTTGCTGAGCAATGCCGTCGCGTTGGCCTGCAGTGCCGCGTAGTCGGCTGAGCCGGGGACGAACGTGGGGCTCCAGTTGACCGAGCCGTACTTGGCGCCCACGCTGTCCCAGATTGCGTGCAAGTTGGACCCGACGCACGGCTTCTTGAAGAGGAACTTGTTGCCGCCGAAATCTCCGTCGGGGAACAGACTTGTCATCCCTGCGACGTTGTGCATGGGGTTGGCAATGTCTCCAAACACATGCAAGAGCATGCGCAACGCCCAGTTGGCCGCATGGGCTGACTGCGTCTTCCCAAACGTGGTGAATGTCTTGGTGAGGAAGTCCAGGGCTTGGCCGCCCTGCGCTTCCTTGATCAACTTGGTGCCGTCACTAGACGTTAAGTTCTTGTAGTCGGTGCCGTTCACGTTGACGGGCAGGTTCACATAATGCCATTCGTCGAGCATGTTGAGGGCTGGTGTCGTGACCGACGGGCAGTACGTGCTCACCACCGAGCTGCACTTGATCAAGTCACCCCAGATCGATGCGGTTGTGACGGTGCCAGTGTTGGGGAAGTCCCTGTCGTACTTGGACAGTAAAGCGTTCAATGTGGTGACGTCACTAGGAGCCAAGCTCTGGGTCGCGATTTCACTGACGAGCATGTGCCCGTTGTCCCACCAGCCATGCACCGACTGCGCGGCTGCCGCCAGCAGTACCAACGATCCAATGCAAGTGAGTTTCATTGCTGCAGCACCAAAATGGAAAATGGATGACTCCAAGGAATATGTACATATTGCCTGTGTTGTGCTCTTAAAAGTGTTGCTCACGTCAACGTGGCGTGGGGAACTCGTATACAAAAACATATATTGCCAATTGGTACTGAATATATGAGAAAACATATCAGTAGCCGACGACCGTTTCGGTCGTACTTATTAAAACCAAAGCATTGGTCAGTAGATCCTGAGTACTTAGGTCGTGCCTGGCAAAAGATGGCACGAAGTTCGAAGTTGATCGAACCCGTTTTTATCACAAACATCACCCTTCGTATGTTAAAGCGATCAGTGCATCAAGTGGTACGTCCTCCATCTTTCTATATTTATCACCCAAAGTGAATACTTCGTAGTATATTATAGTGAATGGTCAAAAGTTTGCCTCACAGAATTAATACCTCTCAATTCAAATATATATTGTAAATGAGAGGTGTGTTGGAAACATCACAGCCATCAAACAGCGCACCCAGCGTGCCGCGTTGCCGCAAGGGTCAAACTAGTACCGGTAGGCATCCACACGAATGCACAAAGTGAAAAATGGAGATCAAGGAGCGTAATGCAAACGGCAAATGAAAGCCCATTTGAGAGGAAGCATGATTCACTATTCAATAGGTACAGTACATGACAGGACAATGGAGAGCATCGACCGCAATAGAACACTATATGAACGACATAAATCACGCTGGCTATATTGCAGCAGCGCTGTTTATGTGCTGTATCGATATAAACAGAGTTAGTACATTGTGTGTTTGTACTACTACTATACGTATACATGTATGGCTTTTGTGATGATCGAGGGGTTACGATACCGGTACCGGTAACGTTACATACTATCGGTTGTGTGATGGTGGGGAGGCGTGAAGATATGGCGCACAAGGTAGACTGAAGTTATCGTTGGAACTGCGTTATGCCGTCACCGCGGTCACGAAAGCAAGATGTCATGTTGTTCTCGTGAACACGATGACGCAACCGCTGAGGACAGAAGACCAGGGATCATAGTCCAGGATGCATCAGAACCTACTGTAGGAATGAATCAAAGATGAAGTTTGGTGTACTGTACCGCTGTTGACTGGTCGCGTGCAGAGCGGCCATGGCCCTCGGCACTTGCACCTCGCCACTTGCACTTCGCTGGTGGTAAAATAGCCAATGTGGTCTCCTAAATTCTATAAAGTCTCGCCTCTATACATAACACTACCTCTAATATCAGATAATTGTGCCACAAAATGCCTAAATTATCGATATCGAGAAATTTGTATGACGCTCTTAACATCCACAACTTGAACTTCAGCATACAGTGGATAACCTCTTTAAATTTGTATAGTTTATACACGTGAGGGCTTCTCTTAACATACGATGTGGGTTTACGTGCTAAAAAGCCTGTAACGTTAATATATAAACAAGTGTGATGACAGGAAAGACCGAAGTTCCGACGCACGATCCTCGAATAGCCGACGTATTTATTGCCCCAAGATTCAACCACGTAGCCAGGGCTATAGAGTTTGGTGAAATGTCATTTCCAAAGGACAAACGACGGCCACAATTACCCAAGGTCGTAAGATCAAGCAAAATCATTATCGTTTTCGCGTTAGTCCACACGGACATCCAGCTACACAGCCAGGTGATACGCTGACGTAGACTTTGTTACGTGCGTTGTGCTGGTTATGGGCCACCCACTTCAGGATGTAAGGAGGTAGGAACGACTGGAATATACTCGCGACATAGATAAACTAAGGATTGTCGCGGCTCAAGTGGGGGGTGGTTGCTTAAAACTCCTTGTTCGCTGCTGTGAGGGCCATTTGGCCCGAAGACATACTCGGAGTAACTACCAACCAGTCCTACCTCTTGTTGAAATAACATTCGAAGTTCATACTCGAAGTTTCATCGTGGATGTTCGCCTGTTGCAAATGGATACACTATCCAAAAGTGACAGAGTTCATTGTTCCGATCATAAAAGTGTTCATTTCTTGATTTCCACATCCAAGCCAACCCATTTCAAAAGTAGTACAGTAATGAAAGCGGTGTCGGTGTTAAGTGTCTTGGCCACGGTAGTTTCTGTCCAAGCGTGGTGGGACAATGGCCATCAATTGGTCGGCGAAGTGGCGACTCAACTTTTAGCCAAGGAGGATGTCGCTACGATCCAAAGCGTGCTCGGAACGTGGAACGACGACTACCCCAACACGGGCGAGATCACAACCGCCACGATCTGGGCAGACCTGATCAAGTGTGAATCGGTGAAATCCACCTACTGCCCGTCCCCCACCAAGCCGGCCGTCAGGTACATGGATGACTGGCACTACGTCAACCTGCCCACCAACGTCAACGGGTCCGACTGGCATGGCCTCACCTCGAAAGACGTGGACCTGCTAATTAAAGCGATTCTGGACGGCCGCGGCCTGTACACGCTGCAGCAGTCGCTCCGAACTATCGCCAAGTCCAAGTCCGCGTGGTCTGCTAACTTTGTCCTGCGCTTCTTTCTGCATGTGTTTGGTGATGTCCACCAGCCGTGCCACTCGACCGTGGGCATCTCGGACAAGTTTCCAGACGGAGACGTCGGCGGCAACTTGTACAGATTCGTCCAGCCGTGCTCGGCGTCCAACTTGCACGCGATCTGGGACAACGCGGCCGGCACGTTCACCTCCAACTGGCACCCGACCAGCCTCCCCGGAAGTCCCGACCGCCTCGCGCTCACTGCCAACGCTACCGCACTCCTCCAAAAGTACGCCGACAAGCCAGACGTTCTCAACTACGCCCAATATGCCAAGCTCTCGTACGCAGACTTTGCCAAGGCCGTGGCCACGGACAAGGTGCTCGAGAAGACCTTCTTGGACACCTACGACGTTGCCCGTAGTGTCGTGTATGTGGGTTTGGACTTGACCAACTGGACTGAATCGAAAGTGGCGTGTCCGTCCGCCGCCTACCAAGCCACGTTGGTGGCCACCGTCGAAGCGCGCATTGTGCTTGCTGGGAAGCGTATGGCGGTGGTGCTCGCGCAATTCGCCAAACAGTTTCGAGCCCAAGGCTTGGCCCCATAAATATATGCCCATCGTGTGTAGCGATATATATGAACAGTATATTACGCCTAAACGGCTAGCATGTTGTCCACCAAATCGGCAGTTGGACACGGGTGTAGGGTTTAGTGTACGACACATGTAAAAGTAGATGGCTTGTAGATGTGTTAGTGAGTTGCCCTTTGCATCCCTTTGGAAGAGTGTCGATTTGTGGTGGATTGGTACAGTGATTGTGCGCTTTGAGTAGTGGTCGGCAACACCCCTTTGGCTGGTCTAGTCGCAGTCTCCAAGTACCATTTCCTTCGCTCTTGCTGGTACATGGACTGGGGAAGTTGCAAAAGTTCCCTCAATTTCATGTACGATTCACAAGGTGATTCGGTGGGGGCGGTGTGTCGGAGGGGGGGCAACATCGTCGTGTTGTTCTTGTATCGAACGACGCTTGCAGATGGCTTTCGAATGCAGAGATGATTCCTCTCTGGCCCTGGGGGGATGGTATCTTCTGGCAGACCGACGCAGACAAGTCCCTCGCTACAAGGACACATTATAGGAAACAAACATGCAATGGACGGAAGAACCTTGTCGCAAACGCACTCCACCCCAACGAGTTGGCGGCTTGCACCCGAAATGCCACGATGGTTTGCAATGGTCGACGCATTGTTTGCAATTGGGCACTCGTGGGGCAATACGTCGTGGCGTTGCCCACGTACACGCCTTGCCACGTCCACTCGTGGGGGGGCTTGGGCGGATCCATTGTCCATGCCATTTCAACGGCATAGCCTGCAATGGGCTCCCCATTGTTATTCGGTGCCTGCCACGATACCCGCACATACCCACAAGCCACACTGGCGGGGATGGTTGAAATGTACGGCAAGAATAGTTCGTCCACGCAAACTAACGGGGGGGGGTCGGGGGGTGCCTTGGCCGTGGTGTAGGTCACCCACAAGCTGGCACACGTCAATGTGATATTGTCGTTGCTGCGAAAGTTGCAGTGCAACCTCGATCGATACGACGTGTGTGATTGCAACTGGCTCACGCACGCCATCCCCAGCACTTTAAATTCTGCCAATACACAAGAATAACTCGCTTCGTCGTTGGAAGGCGTTACTCGAGTTGTTTCCAGGCTCAAATGTGCAGGTTGGTCGGATGCAAACTGGCGCCTCGTGTGCTCTGGAAGGTGAAGAAGATTCAATGGCTTGTATGCCAGAGTCATTTCGTGAGGCAAAGTGGTCGTGACAGTCGGCGGGTTAGGGTCTACGAACATATTTCAACGGTATATATAGCTGATAAACGAATGGCCATACTGGTAAGGGCGAGGTGGGGACGTCCGTCGAGCGGAATTTGCATGTCCACGTGCGTTTGCAGGCGAAATAAAAGCAAGTGAAATGGTTTCAGCAACGGCGGCGTCGTATAGGGAGAGTGCTCGGTGGTATACCTATACGATAGTATATAAGTAAGATCAAAGTGACGTTTTCTCTGTAAATACTTCTACGTCCTCATTTACCGTACCACGTTTCAAATACTCCACTCGAGGCATTATAGCATTGAATGGCATATGATTCGACAACGGTGGGAGTCGGTTCACGCCATTGAAATGTCAACCCTCCAACGTCCGTGGGTGCAATGGCCAGGTCCCCACAAGCTGCAACGAATCAGGTTCAGAATCAGATGGGTGGGATGATATTATTCTGATTCCAGTCAAGTACCTGTGACAAACTGCAACGTGGCCACGTCTTCCCATACATGCGTGGCGTGCATCCGAAACCGACTGCGAACGTGAACGACCTAAACTAATAGTTATGAGCTGATTAATATATATGTGACAGATGGCGTAGAGTTTGTGGTGGCAGTGGCCTACCGAGTGATTGGGCAAGTTGTCGAGATTGATATGAAAACAACAACAGCCTTCGTCTTGCAGTAGCTGGTGTTCTTGTTGGAGTACCTCATACCATACCATCCTCCATCCTTCGTCATGCGAGTCTAGGATATCCACTTGGCACTGGATCGCTTGCTGTGACAGTGTACTGCTACTGCTGGCCCACGGACCAATGGAAAGTTGACACGTGGCATTGTGGTGTGTCACCACGCCCAAGCTCACGTCCACCGAAGGCCAGGTCGGTGCGTACGACACGTCGAGTGATTGTGAATACACGATCAACTCAGACGAATCAGAATCAGGAAACACCGGTGCGACATGGATTCGATGGGCCCTAGGGGACGTTTCAAACGCCCACTCCACAACGTATGCACCGCCGCCCCCACCGACGACAATGTCACTCGCTAGGATGCGACAAGGGGCAGCTGTGTCCACCATCATGTCAAATGCATGCGGATTGAGGTGCTGGAGGTGCAGGGGAAGCTGGAATTGCCAGTGCAGTGTCACATGGCGCCCCATCCCTTGGACTGCCAACGGAAAATGCTGGACAACGTACACGGTGTGGCCTACGGCGAGGCAGTGCAGGTCTTCGATAGTATACGCTGCCAATCGATAAACTGTAACAGCATTGGTGGTAACGGCGGTGGAAGTCGAGGTGTCGTAGGTGCAGGTGGTCTCGCTGTTTGCAATGGATTCTGGGGCCACCTGCACCCAAGACCCATCGGACGCAAGTTGCTGCTCTAAACGTAGACATACGTGACTGGATAGCCTCAAGAGAACGCTCGTCGGTGGGTGCCACTGCAACACGTGGGCATTGGTGGGATGGGGTCGTAGCTGGGGTATAGGAACAGGCTCATCTGTTGCTAGGTGCAGTACATCGGACGTCGCCACGAAGGTTGGCGCACCCAATCCAGTCCTATGCACCTGCACCAAGTACGTTTGGTAGTCCTGTACGTCTTTGAGAAGCACGACGGTGCCCCCCCCTTTCAAGTGTTGCCGAGTGGAAACAAACGGCGTGGACGTATCTGTCACGACCAACTCGGTAGTCATGTCATGGTTGTGGTCGTTGTCATTGACATGTACCCACCACCGACCTGCGAATCCCGTCACAGTCGGAGCTAAGGTAGCCGTACACACTCGTTGCGTTACAGCCATCCATTCCTGTTGGGGAACAAGTTGGGGCTCATTTTGCATCCAGAGAATGCCGGGAGCGCCAGCGGCGTGGTCTGGTCGTGGGGAGGGGTGCATATCCACTTCAACCTCATACCACGTATTTGGGAGGAGATGATGGACAGTCACAGTGGAGTCCTTGGGCGACACGGCACCCTTGTACGCTAGTGTCCACTCAATACGATCTTTGGTGTCCGCTAGACCTACTTGTTGATACTTGACCTGTATGTAGGGCCACACGAGGACGCCTGGCCACTGATTCCAGTGCACAGTCAACGTGGATTGGGTGGTTGTCAGGTGCACGTTGGGGTCGTACGGGTCGTTTGGAATCAGATTCAACGGTACCCAATTAGAAACGACACTCGTGTTGTTGTCGTTGGATATTGCATTCGGCGTGAGGCCCACACGAGTCCACCAGGATACCACGGAATCAGACTCAGTGTTGGAATCAGACTCCATGTCGGAATCAGACCCCCGTTGTGGCATGCGTGCGTGGGGAAGCTGCAGTGGTGGCAGTGGCACCATACTCACAGTCTACCCATGGAAATATGACAACTTACACATGACAACAATACAAGGACACACGTACCGAGCTCGACACGAACGACTGCAACGGTATGCCAATTTTCGTGATCGCATGATCTTTGTCCGCGAGTTCAAACGTCATGCCGTAGAGGCAACAAGCTGCAGGCCACGGAGCCTCGGGTTGGTTAAGAACCCATTCGACGCTGATGAATGAGTGGCTCGGGTGCGTCGTGGACAAAGTACTCGTACGTGTAACGATGGATGTCATGTGCAGAGCCCGACCTAGACAGGCCAGCAGATCTGACGCGAGTTGGGTGTGGTGGTGAATGGGATCAGATGGGCCATCTGATTCCATCGACGACGCAGCGATGTCATGCGAGGTCAAAGCCACGGGTGAACCATCGGAATGGAAGGATGCATGGGTCCGTGGCGTTGGAAGGTGGTCATCCCACCCCGTCGGTGCATGCACAGTGGGTGCCTTTGTGGGCGTGAACACCGTGATTGAATTGAATGGCTTTACCAGTTCTAAGCGACGGACGTGGTCGGTGGGAGATGGAAGGGGTTGTTGCGAAGGAGCCAGGCTTGGCTGAAGCGCAGCGTCGTACGGGGGTGATGGAGAGTCGAGGCTCGTCAAAGGTACGTCCATGATGATAATGCAAGGCGAGGATGAATATGAATGGACATCATCGAACGCGTCAAACAGGTCGTGGTGGAGGACAGAGGGCGATTTCAAGTCCACGGGTTGGACGGCCGACGGGTCCGATGAAGATGACAACGATGTGTGGTGCAGAAGGGTGTCGTAGTCTAGGAACGGAGACGATTCCGTCGAGTGGATGATGTACCCACGGGCGTCGTCGCGGTCAGGCTCGAGCGAGATTTGGTACGCCGACGTCGAGTCCATCATGACGCCGACGGTTTCGTGGCGATGGCTAGCGATTATGAAACGGTAGCAGTTCCTGCTGCGTAAGCTCATTTGAATAATTACGCTGAAAGAAATGAGCTGCTTGGAGTATGACCAATTACTGAAGTTGCATGGACGGATGACCATATCTACTGTTCTGCACATTGCTGGCATCGGCACTTCTAAGCGCAGCTTGGCCTTACTATGGCGGGTGTATTCCCATCCATTTACGCTTGGTAATCTACGGTCACTCGTGCTGCATGAGTGGCCATAGCGTGCATGAGTCATGCAGGCGAGGAGGTCAGGTTTGCCGCCAGCATAACACTCTACTAGTAATAGTAGTATGTCTAAGCACACCCCTGTAAGATATTATCTCGACTTGTCCGGATACGACTCAATTTAAACGTTTTGGCGTTTTATCGCTCGTTGTGGCAATTGGATAAAACGTACTAAAACGTGGGGCTGGGTTCCCACGACGTCGAACATCCGGATAATCCGACACCATCAGCCACGGCACTCGGCAAGCGCTCAGCGGAGGTACCTTCATGCGGTGTCCATCTTCCGTCAGATACTCATACGATTAAACGAAATGTGTAGGTAGACATTCACATGTTGAACAGCGACGTCGATTCGACCAGCAGAGACAATCATCCCGTGGGTCTCACCAAGGCCCAGAAGAAGAAGAACCGGAAGAAGGCCAAGAAAAAAGGTGAAGGTGGCTCTAACGTGCCATCCCTGGGTTCCATCGACTGCTCGGTCGCCTCTTCCGCATCGCCAGCACTGCCAACGTATCCGATAGTCCGGCTAGACGATCAAGCAGGTCACATTTCTCCGACCCCGGCGCCCGTGGTGCCGTCTCCGGAAGCCCAGCGGCACATTGTTCATCGACTGCTCGAGCAATGCAAAGCCCATGTACATGAAGCGCTCGACTCGTTTCCCCAACGACGTATATCATCATCATCATCTCGTAGGGCATGACTGTCGGCGATCGGTACTACGTCGTGAGCTTCAAATGGTGGGAAAGCTGGTGCAATTACGTTCGATTCAACGGTCCGTCGTCCCACCTCCTCATACACAACTCGATGGATCTCATGCCGTCAATCAGACTCGATCTCTTCCCAACGGGATGGCCTCAACGCCGCCGCCGCTTCCTCGTCGTCCTTCAAGCCGCCCTCCGTTGACAACTCGCATCTGCTCGAAGCCACAACCCCCTCTTACCTCGTGGATGGTATACTACATACTTACTCCAAGTCACTACAATATTAGCACTAACAAACAAAAAATTGTCTTTTTTTACATATTTTTTCAATCGATTTCATGAAATTCGTCCAAATTTTGAGTGTTTTTTTTCAATATTTTTTTCAATGAGCTTGTGTTGTAGTGGGCACGTCGGGCGCGGTGCTACTGCGGCCGCAATTGGTCGAACATGTCGATTTTATCCTGCAGCCCCAAGAAGTGTGGGATGCATTGGCTAGTTGGTACTACTCCTCCAACTACTACTAGTAGTATACTGCGAGTGACTAGTAATACTAACGCGACGGTGGAGGTATGGCGGAGGCCCATCGATCTGCCGGTTTGTGGTCGGCGTGGGCGGCCAGTCCAAATCATTTCTAAATACTCTCAAGCGCGTCGAACTGTACCCGGATGGCACGGACACTGAAGAAGAAGAAGAGGACAGCCAAAGTACCCACATGGAGCCACGAGAATCTGCGACGACGTTTCAGCGCCTGCCCAAGCCCGAACGGTGTATGGTATGTCCTCCTTTTCTGTGATTTTTCATGTATATAATATATATTTGAAATTTAAAATAATTATCTGAAACAAGGGTGTCACGCCTGCCTATACCCGTAGATTTGAATCCTATAAATCAACCTCGCGTTGTTGCGTTTTGATATATATATATATATATATATATATATATATATCTATTGTTTTTGATATAGTCTCACTTATCACGACTTGACATATTATAATTAAAACTGACCTCGCTATCTTGTATGTATATAATTTGTTTGATGTATTGTGTTTCCATGATAAAAGGATCGGCTCACGATTTGACCTTGCTGAAATCACGATGTATATTTTTTGATGTCTATATATATATATATATATATTATATATATATATATATATATATATTATATATATATATATATATATATATTATATATATATTAAATCCATCTAAACAATGGTTGTACCAATCATGACTAATTTTAAATCGTTGTCATGGGGGGGAGTTGTGGTTAGTAGTTGGCAGTGGTGTATATATTTCCGTGTTTGTGTGTTTCATTCAAGCTACTCTGTGGTGTTCGTACCCTCATTCTTGCGTGTACACCTAGGTGTGCCATCGCCCAAGCACCCACCGCTGCGGCCACTGCAAGCACTGCAACTACTGCTCCCGGGCGTGCCAGGTGTCGCACTGGAAGTACCATAAACCTCTTTGCACCCGTCTCAAGGCCGCCCATTCCACCGTGAGCGCCGTCGAAATCGGCGGCCGCCAAGGCCAAGCGGGGCTGCGTAACCTCGGCAACACTTGCTTTATGAACGCCGCCTTGCAGTGTCTCAGCCACACGACTGCGCTGACTGTGCACTTTCTCACGAATGCATACCAGACGGACCTGAACTCGGACAATGTACTCGGCACTGGGGGGAAGCTGGCCACGCAGTACGCTCTCCTGCTCAAGGTAGTTATATATATATATATATTTGAATGTGTTGAGCGATTTAAAATATACATACACTTGGATATATAATTGAATTGATTGATTGGTTCACACTACGATGTATGGAAAAATGCACATATATGTTGGCCACGGGATGTTTGTTTGGCGGAGATCGAATTCAAATATATATATATATATATAATTTTCAATTTTTCAATTAAATAAACGTCGATTTTTCGTACCATCTTTGGCTTGTTTCAGGCCAAACGTGGCATTCGCATCGACAGTTGGAAACGGCGTTTGATTGGCTGAAATACCACGTGCGTTGTGTGTTTTGATTCGTCCATCCAGTTTCATCATCATCTCCAATTGGCCAATTCGTTCATATATATATATATATATATATATATATATATATATTACACGTGGCATGATATTCATGTGTTCCTGTCCATACATGACGACTGTATGTAGTATACATGTTCTTTTTTGAAAGAATGGGATTATTTCCCAATGAATCATCCACAGGCGCCTGCTGCAGGGAAATTTCCCACTAGACAACGACGTGATATAGGAACTATGGCTCGGCACTGCGTCCAGCGTGTCCCCTGGCCCCCTCAAGCGCGCAATCGGGACATTTGCCCCACAGTTTTCCGGGTACCAGCAGCACGATGCCCAGGAACTGCTGGCTTTCCTCCTCGATGGCCTCCATGAAGACGTCAACCGCATAACTAACAAGCCATATGTGGAAGCTATCGACTCGAACGGGACCGAGCCGGACGCGGCGGTGGCGGCAACCGCGTGGCAGAACCACCTTCTCCGCAACGCATCCGTGTTTGTTGATACTTTGCACGGCCAGTTCAAATCCACAGTCGTGTGCCCCCACTGCGCCAAAGTCTCGATCACGTTTGACCCGTTCAATTGTGTGCAGCTCGAGCTCCCCCATGCTGTCACGAGGCCTTTGGAGGTATATATATATATTTATATATTGGGTTTGAGGGAAGAATCGCTGGAGTTGTATGGCTGAGATGATGATGCCAAAGGCTGTTTGTTGTTCGGGATGTTGGAACGAGATGTGTACCCATCATATTGGAATGTTCAAGGCATACACTAATTATATTTATAACACTAATTCGATTTATAACAATAATTCGATTTATAATTTATACATGACGATGTATGATTTGATTGGCTCCATACGTAGCTGAGTGATTTGGTTGAGTGTCGATAATATACCATTTTCACGTCAGTAGTTGTTTGGAATCAAACACAACAATATATATATATATATACTCTCATTCGTGAAGCTTTTTTGATACATTTTGAACCATCACAAACTCGATTTCTAGTCTACTTTTTGCATGTATGGTTATATTAATATAGTATCTCTGTGTAGGTGATTGTGTTGCCCCAACTCACTCGCGCGGCCGTGCTAGCCGCTTCTGACGTGTCTGTCCTACAGCCCCAGACGTATGGCGTACACGTCCACAAGCGAAGCCACGTCAAAGCCATCAAGGTACCATACATATATAATATATCAAATATATATAAGTCGAATCGAGACTGATATCCTGGCCAGGTGGCGCTGGTGGAGGCGGGGTGCCCGTACACAAAGATTGTTCTATGCGATGTGTTTCATCATTTGGTGTATCGGATTCTGCCAGACGACGACCGAACGGCGCGCATCCGACCGGACGACCGCGTGGTCGCGTACCCGCAGCCCCCTCCGGACGCAACCTGCGTCTTGTTCTGCTACCATCGCGTGTACGTGACACGGACATCATCTGATTCGACCGCCTGATCCGGACATATTTAATCCGATCCGGACATCTTTGGTCTGATTCGGACATCTTTGAAATCTGATTCGGACATCTTTGAAATCTGATACAGTATGCGTACTTCGATATCTGATTCGTGTATGGAACCGGTCGGATTCCCATCTCTCGGGTATGCGGTCTGCGTCCGCATGGACTCAGAATCGTATATATATATATCGAATGCGTGCGCTGAATCAGATATATATATATATATATATATATACAACGTAGATCTGATTCCATATATATTTGTAGGTACAAGAAGGGTGCAGTGCCGTCGTTGTTTGGTGACCCCATGATGCTGCACCTGGACGCTCAAACGACGTTTGACTCGTACGACCAATGGAGAGCCAATCAGAAAACTGGACCATAAATCTGTGACGTGGTGTAGATTTCTGGAGCAAGTTCTGGTGCAACTGGTGCCATTGATGGGATGGTCAGCTGCAGAAACCTCGCGGCGACTCGACGATCCCGCCCTCCGACTCTGCTTGGCGTCGCATGTACGAACCTGAGATACTCCTCTTGTAGTCTTATATATATATATTTGCCGCAAAAATATAATATTTTTCATTAGATGTACGTGACCAACCAAGATGGCATGAATGCCACACCGACAACGAGATCGCTGGCAGCCTTTGAAGGCTTTTCCAACACTGCGACGGTCGTGTCTACGCTCAAGCTGGTAATATATTTATATGATTGTGTCAAAAGTATCAAATATATACATATGTTTATATATATTGTGTAGGCCGACGCTGGATATTTGGGCATCGACTGGGAAGGCGACATGCGGGGGCTATATAAGGCCACAGAACCATACATTTTGCCCCATCCGTCGTACGTAGTGGACACTTGTAATCGTTCCACGCGCCGATAAATGAGTGGCTGTGAGCCATTTGAAATTGTTTGAGATGTTTGATATCTAATAGTCTGAATATATATATATATATATTATATATAAATATATGCGTGTTGTATAATATATCACTGAAAATCGTATCATCACAACGCTTGTGTTATATGGCCATAGACTCGAAAGTTTGAAAGCCAAGCGAGCGTCGAGTGGGTTGTCGTTGGCTGAATGCTTTCAAAAGGTATATATATATATATATACAGTGATCTTTATATATATATATCTTTACCCGGATATATATATATATATATATATACTATATCGTACCATTGATGGCCATGTTTGTATCCAGTTTACAAGTGCCGAACAACTGGACGAAGACAATCTATGGTATTGCAGCACGTGCCAAAAACATCGCCAAGTACGGTCGTTCATTATTCCTCTATTTCATGATTTAATCTCTCCTTTTCATCTATATATAAATATATATATAGGCGACCAAAACGATGCAGTTGTACTCGTTGCCAGAGGTTTTAATTCTATCGCTCAAGCGTTTCGAGTATCGCAACGAAGTCGTTCGAGATAAGCTGGACGCGCTGGTGGAGTTTCCTCTGGAAGGCCTGGACATGGCGCCATTCTGCCTCTCGACACCATCGACCGGCCTCATCTACGACCTCTACGCCACCACCAACCACGTAGGGTCGATGGGGTTTGGCCACTATACAGCGTTCGCCCAGGACCAGCAGACCCGCCTCTGGTACCACTTTGACGACAGCTCCGTCACATCCGCCGCGGCGTCGTCGGTCGTGTCCAACACGGCCTACATTTTGTTTTACAAGCGCCGGGGTACTAGTAGTAATACTAGCAGTCGCCCCGCACCCCGACTGTAATCCGCACGAGAAAGAATGAATGTATATACAACACAGTATTGTCAAGATATTCGAAACTCGAGTGTTTGGGTGCTCAATATCGAATGACCAGAAGAACTAAGTCAGCAGGGAATCGATTTATCGACCAATCAAAACACAAAACACGAATCCAGTAGCCAATCAAATGATCCACTCTTCGACTCGTTCAACACCGAATTAGTGTGTGATTGAAATTAGTGTGATACTGGACGATCTTTACAAAAGTCAGGACAACGAATCGATCGATAGATTTGGCAAAGAATCAGCACAAAAATAGTCCAAATTTTGGGTAAATGGACAATATTAATATTACCACGTAGTACTAGTAGTACACAATGGTCACCAGGTATTAATACCAGTACACTTGAATGTACACTATACTTCGAAGTACATACTATAGGTACTAACTACTTGCATTATATGTAGGTACTAACTAGTCCATACTTGCATGATAGTAGTCGGAATACTATTAGCACGACGTAAGTGGACTGTCCGATACTGTAACAGGACCAAGCCGAGGGCCACATCGACAACGAACTAGTTAGGACTAACAATAGGATATAGTAGTATCCATGACCGATGTGGCTAACTTAGGGGTTGTGTATATATTATATATATTAGATGCCTTTTTCTTCTTCGTCCTATCTCTACGTCTAGTATCCGTCCGTAGTAATACTAGCGAGATTCACCCACCCGAATAAGATAGCCCCGTGCAAGAGCGTGTACGTGGCATACACGGCGTACAGCACGGACGCATACCACTTGGGACACTGAAATCCGGTCACCACCGCCACCGCCAGCGTCAGACTTAAGCTGAGCCCCAGCGCCGCCACTGACACGAGTCCGTGGACGTCAAAGACGGCGGCGCCGCCCCCCCCGCCCCACACGGCCAAGGGCACGCCGAGCCCCACGAGCAAATTGAACACGGGGCCCCCAAAGCACCCCGCCAGAGCCATCTCGGCGCACCCGCCCCGGGCGATTGCAACGTTTGTGCTCAGGTCGCCCACGGAATTCCCCCACGACAGCACCTATACATCTCTCTCTCACTTTTGAAATATATATATATATATATATATACATTGCTCGGTTTTAGAAGAAGATAGATTGCTCCATTCGAAAGATATATATATATTTTCATTTTTAAACAGAGAGAATCATTGAATTCGAAATATATGTATACGCTGATCGGTTTTAGAAGCAGATGATCACTCGATTAGAAAGATTATATATATATATAAACTTGTATCTTCTCCATATAAAACCGATATATATATATATCGGTTTTATATGGAGAAGATACAAGTTTATATATATATATAATCTTTCTAATCGAGTGATCATCTGCTTCTAAAACCGATCAGCGTATACATATATTTCGAATTCAATGATTCTCTCTGTTTAAAAATGAAAATATATATATATCTTTCGAATGGAGCAATCTATCTTCTTCTAAAACCGAGCAATGTATATATATATATATATATATATTTCAAAAGTGAGAGAGAGATGTATAGGTGCTGTCGTGGGGGAATTCCGTGGGCGACCTGAGCACAAACGTTGCAATCGCCCGGGGCGGGTGCGCCGAGATGGCTCTGGCGGGGTGCTTTGGGGGCCCCGTGTTCAATTTGCTCGTGGGGCTCGGCGTGCCCTTGGCCGTGTGGGGCGGGGGGGGCGGCGCCGCCGTCTTTGACGTCCACGGACTCGTGTCAGTGGCGGCGCTGGGGCTCAGCTTAAGTCTGACGCTGGCGGTGGCGGTGGTGACCGGATTTCAGTGTCCCAAGTGGTATGCGTCCGTGCTGTACGCCGTGTATGCCACGTACACGCTCTTGCACGGGGCTATCTT